TACAAGCTCCCTACATAACGCCTTCGATGAAGAGGACTCCAAGAATGGGTGCAAGCTTGTTGATAGTTGAGTTGGCAGTAGCGGAGGATAGACCTCTGAGATCCCTGTTCCTATAAGCCTGAATGCAACACGCCTCTACTACTAAGGTGAGGGGGCTAGGGTTTGGTTATATAACCTGATCTTAGGGCCTGGAATGCTGAGTGTCGATAATCACCCATGTGCGCGTTCATCTCTGCGATGTGTTACGAAAAAGGCCGATCCGATACGTAAGTCCATAGTACGGCTCCCGAACCGCCACAATATCACTAACCTGATCGAGAGTCACATCCGTCTGGTGGCGGCGATCAGCCACAGAGGGAAGCCGAAGGAGGAGGCTACGCAGCCACTGGCGGGTGAAGGATTTCTCGGCAATGATGAGGAGGAGACGGACTAAAAGCTACGATTTGCTGCTTGGCTCTCGTTCTTACTAGTGACGGAGGCCACTCCACACGGGAGGATTAGGGTGCTGACAGCGATGATCCCTGGAGAGGCCGCGACGCGCCCAAAGAGGCATGCGGACCCGGCTTAGAGGGTGAGATGGACGGTAAGCCCAGATCTCATCGGCGATGGGCCGGGAATTGGGGGGTCGGGGGTCGGGGGTCAGACAGATAAGTGACAGGAAGCTGGTCAGGGCCAAGGCAGGGCAGGCCAGAGGAAGAGGATTTGACTCATGTTCAGCTGCTTCGGGGTGCTTGAGGAATGTGGAAAAAGAAACGACGGGCAGCTCGACGATCTGTGATTGGGGGTGTTTGTGTCTGCTGGGCGAGTTGGTGGCACACATACCATGCACATACACACACACACACACACACACCAGCAGCCACATGCTCCCGTTGATACCTAATGGCACTTGGTAGTGGCAGCTACAGCAGCAGCAGCAGCAGCAGCAGCAGCAGCCAGTCGTGGAATTGCACGCGTGTCTCAAGGCGGCAGGGCCAGGCGGGCTGGCCAAGGGCGGGTGTGGCCGAGCGGCGAGGAATACCTAGACCAGTCCGATCCAGCCCGGTGGAACGTGACCCGTGTGCTCGTGGATCATTGCCGGTTCTGGCGTGTACGAGTCACGGACTTTGAAGGCGTGGACGACGGTAGAGGCGGTGGCTGAGGTCCTTTTGGGTTCGTGAACCCCCCCAGGGACGGGATGGGGAGGGTCAGATGAAGGCTTCGAGGTACGACAAAGAAAGCTCGGATGGACGAGAAGAAGGCGCAAGAGTGGCGTGTATCTAGATGTACGGCGACGATGCCAAGGTTGATGGCATGAATGCTGCTTCGTCGTGTGGTAGTGGAGGTGGTGGTGGTGGTGACGGTGATGGAGGTGGTGAGGGTGAAGCAACGCATTCGTTTGAAGATGAACTCTCTTGCGCTACACGTCTTTTATCGCAAGCCTCGGTTTCTTGCAGCTGGTCTTGGACATGAAGGTCGTCCATCAGTTCTCAGGAGGATGTATGCGCACGTAAAGCGAATCGATCGCAGCCCACGGGGGCCGGCTATGTACGATGACCACCACCCTGGGGGCCGTGTTGTCGCTGACGTACCGGTACGTACGGTAACGCGGTAAGCGATGATTGGGCTCGTGTGAATCAGGGGACGGTGCGACGGCGTCCAATCCGTGATCAATTGACTCTGCAGTGGACGTGGTAACACAAGTCTAAGACGAACGTGAAGGGGGAGTCTCGACATGTGAAAAGGAGTCGACGAGAACCGCGCGCACTTGACGTCCAGACAGACGGCGCGCGTGAATCCTGCAACGGAAATAGCATATACCCCAGCGTCCAATGAGCTGGGCTCTGGCAACGTGGTGATCGTCGTCTCGCCCGTTAGAGAGAGAGAGAGAGAGAGAGAGAGAGAGAGAAACAGAGACAGAGACAGGCACATTATGACAAGACACACACACACTTGTGTTAGTATCCCTCTCAGGTGACTGCAGCCTTGACATCAGGCTTTGCGGTCCGGCGTTCGACGCTGGGTGTTGATATCTTCTGGCTTGTGATGCGCGCGACGTCTCGTCACATCGGCTGCTTCATCGTGACCTGACGGAACCCGAAGCTTTCAAGGCCGAATGTATAGCACCCTCTCTGTATCCTGTGTCCTGCGTCCTAACCCGCACCCGATTGCCTCATTCGGCAGAGAGAGGGACGCATGACAACTTGGTGAAATGACAATCAACTCTGATTCCCCCGTCGTTCATGCTCTCGCGGCTGACCCAACCCCCTCGTGTCACCAAACAGTGCGGCGCATAACAACCTTCAACCAAGGCCAACCCTGACAGGCCCTCTTTTGTAGCTTGCTTATTCTTGTTCTGCCCCCTCCCAGAGGAATTTCCCCGGACAATCAGCCAGCCAGAAAGGTAGAGGACGAGTTTAAACCTGGACACGCCGATGCTTGACTCGGACTCACTCACCCACACAGATGTTTGCATTTTCAGTCAGGGCCCTAGCGACATCGGCGGCTGCGCGGGAAAATCCCAGTGAGGGGCCGCCGTCCGTGAACACGCACACGTCGGAGGAGGGGGGGGGACCCTGTAGCGCGTCTCGCCTTGACGGACTCCCGTGGCTCCCCTTGGCACAACTTACAAGGTGTGTGTGTGTGTGTGTGTGTGCTGCCATTGTCGAATAAGCCCACTCACACACACACACACACAAGCTAGTGGTTGTCACTGTCAAAAAAACAAGCGCCTTCTTGGTGCCTCCGTGCCTCTGTGCCTCTGTATCAGACAAGCGGGCTGGCTGGTGGACCGAAACGGCAGAAGAAACGAAAGCGAGACAGGGCAAATAACTAGGTAGGTAGTCTACTACAAACAAAACGAAACACCAGTTCGCGCCGCCCCCCGGTCGTCTTCTTTGGTTCGGTTCAGCTGGAGAGACAGGCCGAGCTCACGCCGGCCCAGAGAGAGAGAGAGAGAGAGGAAAAGAGGGTTTCTCACTCTGCATGACCTGTTGGACTTTTCCCGAAAAGAGACATACATGGTAAATGCCACCGAAAAGAACCGCCATCCCGTTCCCGCCCGTCCTTCCCACCGGACGCCGTTCATCAGAAACGGACCAGGGCTAGAGATGTTCGCCCTTGGGCGGTGGGAGTCGGTCAAAAGTTAAATCCTCGTGCTGCCCCCCCTCTCCCCACCAGATCGAGTGTTCAATAAAGTGAGCGGGCTAGCTCTCATCCATCCCCGCGGCCGACTAGGTAACAGCGCATCAAAGGTGGAGAGTGAGTGTGACACTACGCCGGCGGCTTATCCTCGTCTTGAAGCTTTTCCGTCCATCGCCACTCAGCACTGCGCGTAGCGTACCACTCTAGTCCCTAGACACATGCACGACTCATCTTCAGTAACCCATTCTCTCTCACTCTCTCTCACTCTCCGTATTGTCGCTCATCCTTCTCGTTCCCTTGCTAGTCTCGCAACTACACTCATCTTCATCCCGTCTCACTCATCCGTGTGTCACCGCCACTCCGACCAGAATGCCCTAGAGGCTTTTTACCCACCGTGAGCCCCAACATTCTGCTTTACCATCGAACCAACTATCCGGTATCCCCGCGACTCATCGTCAAGTTGCGCAAGGACCCATCCATCCATTCATCCTCTCACGATCCGCCGTCCTGCATACAGACCCTCTCTCTCTCTGCCTCTCTCGCCCTCGCTTTACTCACTCCCACTCAACCCACTCATCCACTCACTCACTCACACGCAACCTCACGCGCAGCCTGCATGCACTACACGCATACGTGCGTCAAACCCTGTAGTTTCTGGGCCTCTGTACGGATACAGCTCCTAGTCCGGACCAAGACCGAGTGCCTAGCTCTCTCTCTCTCTCTCTCTCTCTCTCTCTCTCTCGGTGTTCTGCTCTCACTAGAACAACGTTAGCTGCATGAAGAGACGCCGCATTGCATCCTCGCAACGTACTTGAGACGACCCGTATCCGCGAATCCCAACCGCAGCCCGCCAACAGCGGCCAGGGAAAAAAAACAAAAAGAATACCACGCGAGACACCTCCATCTCTCATTTCATCCGCGGGTTGATATCCGTCTCGTGTTTCCCCATTCCCCCCACCCAGTCCATCATAATCATCGTCATCTTGGTCGTCTCCACCGCACTGCATCAACTTCACACGCCCACGGTCGAGAACTCAACCTCAACTTGACGCCGGTGCTGCTGCTGCTCTCCAACCCGTCAAAGTTACCGTCATCTCATCTCGTCCTGCTAGCGGGTTGGGCGTTCCGTTAGCGTCTGGCAACAAGAACCACCGGGGCCTACTACATCATCGTCCAGAGTTTCGAAACCCTGCGGCGGCACAAGAAGGGCGTGAGGAATCCTTTATTTTCTTTGCTTGCCTTTACCTTTTGTCCCCGTTCTTCCTTCTACGCTTCCATGACCAGAAGGCCTGTAGAACCCAAACGCGTTCGGGTCTCCTGTTCACCCCATTAATAAACTATCACCGCCATTTCTTCTCCTTTACCCCGTCATCGCCCTGTTCCAGCCAGCCCTGCCCAGCCCACTTGCGCAGCTCTTCTTCCTTACGGGTTGAGACACGCATATTGGGGGCCTCGGGACCTGGATCTAGACCTTTGCACTTGACATCGGCGGCTTGTTATCGTCTCATCACTTGGGCTCTCTCTCTCTCTCTCTCTTGCACCTGCATCCCCTTCCCTTCCGTCCTGCAGCCGCCGTTCCGCCACAGCCACACCAACACCACCACGTTGGACTCGTCGTCACCCCCTCCCTCACTCGTCTGATCTATTTTCACAGGCCGTTATTTGTCCTGCTGTTCAATGCTGCACGCTCGCATTGCTGCCTCGCCCATTCGTCATCCTCACTGATCCTGGTACTCTCGCCCTACTACGTACATAGTACTACCTATACCCAGCCATCTATCGGAATTGGATCCCTACTCCCTTCCAGCCCTGCTACGCTGCCAGCACATATCTGATTGACATTGCTTTACTCCGTACATTGTCATTGTCAGCGTCCAACCTGGTCCCCTTACCCACACTGCACATCGGTAAAGGAAACCCAATCGACCAATATATTGAACTGGGGGGGTGGACAGCAATACCCGACGGCTTATCCTGGCACGCAAAGCAACGCAACACACAACACATCATCAACCCACGCATAACCCAACCATCAACCCTTATAGAGAGACGCTCTCACCCCTGCGGTCGCTAGGTTCGTGGCCTTTGTACCTACATATTCTACATATCCAACCTCGTCCTCTCTGCAGCCTCACCTCCCCTTCCTCTCAGGGTCTTTCCCGTCATCCACCCCACGCCGCAAGTCTGGTAGCACAACGTGGAATAAGAAACAAAAGAATTCTACGAGGGCTTTGTGCCAGCCCTCCTCCATCATCCCCCCTCATTCCTCAGCAAGACATCCCGGGTCCCGGCTGCAGCGCCACGAGACACCCCCCGCCCATCGGGCGGCTCACCGCAACATCCTGACCCAATCACGGACTTCTAGCCAGCCCACGACGACAACTCCCCCCTGTCACCCCTCGACCAGGGGGTCGATCACCAAGACGCCGTCTTTCAACCCATCAACACACAAAACGACGAGAAGCACAGGCCCAATCTCTTCTGGTTTTGACATATACAGCCCCGGTCCCATCGTCCCCTCTAGCCCTGTCAGGACCTGCATGTGCCGCCGCCGCACGACAGGCTTCGAAAACAGCGAAAACAACGACAATAACACACCTCTCGCTTGTTCATCTCTGCATAAAGACCGACAGGGGGGAGGGGGTTCAAGACAGACGAACCGAAAGACTAACGAAGCCCACTCCGACACACTCTTGTCGTCAGATCAACGTTGACAGAACGGGGGGGGGGTCCCTCACCAGATGGGTTCCTGTCTGGGTTTATTTTATTTTTTCCTCTCTCTGTGTCATTGACCGCAACTTCTGACACCACTCCGTCGAAAACCTCGCTCTCATCTCCGTCTCTTCTCCTCATCTCGTCAAGGACGTCTAGTCTACTTAATACAACACATGCCCCTGCGAGGGCCCTCCGCAAGCGAGATATCTCTCCTCTCTCTCTCCCCCCAGACGTCGTTTACCTTCGCAGCTCGCAGCTTGGTTACTAAAAGCTCGCTCGTCGGCATCGCTGTTCTTGTCAACCACCGACTCTCTCTCTCTCTCTCATCCTCCCTTCGTCTCACGCACACCCACACACTCACAAGGACCAACCCGGGCCTTTTCGCCATCGCTCGCATCTTGCGCCGCCGCTGCGTGTGCCGATCAAGTGAGGGGGGAAATCCTCCAATGGATCTATAGTGAGGATTCAAATTCGATTGTTTTGAGTTCTACAGCATCCGCGTATACATACCCTTTTATTCTTTCGCGCCCGTCGCATGAAGCCAGCAGCAGCATCTTGTTCGCCTCGGTGTCCATCTACTTCTACAGCTTCGTGAAAGAGACCCTGGTCGACTCTTTTCATGCAAACACACAACGCTTTACACCCATCATCTCTATATCCTACACACACACACACACACACACACACACACACACATACAAACAAACGCACATACGCCGCAGTCATGTCTCGCCTTTCACCGTTCCCGACGTTCCGCGCCGAGTCCCGTGCCAGCGTCGCGGCCTCCGACACGACGTACCACACCTGCGCCTACCAGAGCTTCAACGACGTCGAGCTCTTCGCCCCGAGCTCGCCGCCCTCCAGGACCCCCGTTCCGGCACCGGCGTCGCCGCCCTCTTCCTCCCACCAGGACCCCTACTCTCGCCCGGACCACTACCCTCACCACAAGGACGTCGAGCCCGAGACGGCCGAGATGCGCCGCCAGGATTCCGGCTACGAGTCCCTCCCGCCGCGGTCCTCCTTCTCCAACCCGCGCCGCTCGTCGACGGCCTCGTCCTCCCACTCGTCCTCTAACCCTCGCTCCCGCGGCCGTCCGACTATCCGCCGCGCGCCCAAGACGAGCCCGTACCCCACGGCCGCCCGCACCAGCGGCGGCAGCCTGTACCACCCGCAGCAGCGCCAGCACCTGCACTCGGCGCTCTCTCAACCCCCCGTGACCTTCTTCCACTTCCCGGCGCACCCCACCGACGTCGAGCTCGCCGCCCGGCGGCCCCGCGAGGACGTCGAGCTCGAGCAGCGCGTGCTGCTCCCGGCGGGGGCATCATCATCGGCATCAGCAGCAGCAGCAGCAGCCGCCTCCGCCTCCGGGGAGGAAGGGTCCGCCGACGTCGCGCCGCTGCCGCCGCAGGCAACGCACTATTGGACCAGCGACCGGACGCGGCGGCTCGAGTACGCGGCCATCGACGCCGCGAGCCGGGGCGTCAAGGGCTGGGTCAAGAGGCACCTGGTGCCGGACTGCTTCGTGCCCAAGGAGAAGCACGTCGCCTTCGACGACGACACGGGCAGCGTGCGGCGCTACCGCCTCGAGCTCGACGAGGAGGCGCCCTGCGAGAAGCGCGGGTGCGGCGGCCGCCGCAGGAGCTGGTTCGCGTGGAAGCGCTCCAAGACGGCTTGAACAAAAGAGTCATCTTTGGTTGCGTCTTCCCCCTTTTCGTCTTGTTTTGCTCTCCCCCCTTTTTTTCGATGCTGGTGTTGACGCTGCTCTTTTTTTTATTTTTATTTTTTATTTTTTGGGATCATGGAATCAAACGTGGGACGGGTGTTGGAGCGCGCAAATCTTTGGGTCGAGTGGGCATATGGCATTTTGCACAAGCGGTGTTTTATACCCAGCATTTGGTAACGTTGGATTGTTTATACTCGTTTTCTGTTTTCATTTCGTCGCTTTAATCTTCATTTTTATTATGTTTTTCTTTTTTCTTTTCCCGCCGAGAGAGAATCCTCCCGGGTATTCCTCTAAACACGGAGAGACGAAACGGATCGCATTGGTTTTCGAGCATCAGAATGGCATGCATAGCGCACACATAGACGATAGATGACGAGATGAGAACCCGATCGGAGAAGCCGGAGCAGAGAACTCGGTGAAAGGGGGAGGGAGGGGTGAGAGACGGAGAGAAATGTCTTTGAAGACTGCGGGACTCGTAACGTGGACTGGACGTTGTCGATAGCTTCAAACAGACTGATTTACACTTCCACCAGTGCCTCGAAACTCTCCACCTTTGCGCTATTCTGTTTTTGTGTATGCCATCTCGGACTTTGCCTCCCACTCTCGTTCAATGTCCGATCGAAAACTGGGCGGCTTCACCTGCTGGTGTCGTGGGCCCCCCCCCCATACACCGCTAGTCCCAGGTCCCCATGCCTCGGGAACCATGGGAATGGTTGTTGTGGAACACCGGCGCCCTTCCGCCCGGGCCCGGAATCCCGGACGGTCCGGTCCGGGTCAGCCGCCCCTTCCGGACAGACAGGCGGTGAGGAAAGCAATTCTGGGGGCATTTGCCAATGGTCTGTTGGTCATCAGACCACGAGGTTTGCGAGTCAGAACTTTCAGGAGGCTCGGATGGGGCCGAATTGGACGGGTGGAACGGAAGGCTTCATTCGGCATTAGGTTTCCTCATACATGTATGTATACAGGACACATTGCCCCAATTATGTTCACGGGATGGCTGCCGGCTTATAAGGATGTTGTTATAAAGACATGGCTGTCTCCTGTCCATCTTATGCATAACCCCCACGGCCGTGTCGGCTACCTTACCCATCGCTTGTCTCACTATCTTCACCGCCCATCAACGCCACCTCTCCTGCACCCGTCACTGATGCACGAGCGCATACGTCTCTCTCTCTCTCTCTCTCTCTCTCTGTGTGTGTGTGTGTGTGTCGATCTCTCCGTATCTGTCCCTCTCTCTCTCTCTCTCCCTGTCTCTCCGCCGATGCACACGAGCCTCCCCGATCTCAACGGTAATCTAGTCGCTGGCCTTGACGCACTCGATCACGGCCAAGTGCCGCCAAGGTCCCTTGCCCATCGACACGCTGTTGATCTTCAGCCCAGCCCTCCCGAGGACGTCGGTCCAGCACTCGAGGGTGCGGTGCTTGCCGCCGAACGTCAGCATCATAAAGTCCAGCATCGTCGTGGTCCAGTGCGGCGGGTTCGCCGCCACGTCCTCCTGGATCAGGAGCCGGCTGTCGCTCGTCATGGCCTCGGCTATGATGCGGAGCATGTTGACGCTGACCTCGTCGCCGTAGTTGTGTAGACACCGACGGATCCAGTATGTGAGGGCCCCTAGACACGCACCGTCAGCCCGACCCCGTCTCGTCTCGAGGTTTCTCCGTCGTCTCTGCGTCAGAGTACCGAAAAGAATAACGGTCTAGGGATATGTGTATATATATATGCCCAGTGATGCCTTACCTTTGACGGGCTGCTCTTTATGAAAGTCCATGACCTGCTTCTGCACAAGCCTCATGTCCTCGTCGTCCAGCTTCTCCACGGCCTCCACCACCTCCGGCCGGTCCTGCAGCACGCACTTGTCTAGCGGCAGGCCGGGGTTCTCGCCGTGGATCGCCTTGATGGACTGACCCCTGCCCGCGCCGACGTCGACGAACAGTGGCCGGTCGGACGAGGGGTGCGCCTCGGCGTACTCGACCACCCAGCCAAAGTCGTATATGCCCGCGATGGGCATCTTCTCCTCGATCGGCCCCATCGCGCGCAGGAACCTCTGCAGCCGCGGCGGGTCGTGCTGCAGCATCTCGTAGAAGCTGTACTCCGGCACGCCGTAGGCGTACGTGGCGGGGATCTGGTTGATGGTCTGCGGCTCCTTGCGGCCGTACTTCTCAAAGTAGGCCGGCAAGCGCACGTACGGCACCAGGCCGTTATCCCAGCTGTGACGGTTGTCAGTACTGTGAACTGTTTAAGAGCCAAGGGATGGACATGGGGGCTGCGACGTACGCCATGCCAAAGATCAAGCCTATCGGGTGTTCGTTGGCGTAGACGCGTGAACGTTTGGTGTGCGCGACGGAGTCGTCGCCGACTTGCTCCAAGAAGTTCACCGACGTAAGAACACCTCCGATACGTCCTTTTTCCCTCCCTCCCGCGCATCAGCAAATGACTTTCGGCAAAAACCCCAGCGGGAGAAACTCACGTATCAGTGCCTCTTCGGCATCCACCTTGGCGGCCAGCTCGCCGTACGAGATGCTCCCCTCGAGCGGGATGCGGTCATACACCTTCCACTCCGCAAAGAGCCTCTTGGCGCCGAGCTCCGCAACTTGCGCCGTCGTATCGAACCACTCGTCTGCCGGGTCCTTGACGGCATTGATGAGCTTCGTCGCGGCTTCGATGATCCGCCGTCGCTGGGCCTTGTCCAAGTCTCCCCCGGACGGCCCGGGTTCGGCCGCGAAGCTTCGGAAGGCCGCATTGACCTCCTCCGTCGCTGTGGCGGCCTCTTCTAGGACCGAATTGCCATGGTCTCCCGTCATTTCTGAGCGATATGCTTTGTTTGGACTGTGCCTGCTGGGGTAATCAAGCTTTGTCGAATATGTCTGGTGACGAAGATGACCACGAGCGTAGTGCGCCGCACCACGAGGGATTCTTTTGCGTGCTTCAGTGGCTTAGAGCGTGTGCGGGAAAGCCTGCAAAACCAACAATTTGATGGCGCTGGTCACATAGACACGGACGGCCACGACTACAATGTATCCAGGCCGGTTAAACTGTCGGGTCTTCGTCAGCACAGCGATAGAGCAGACTCTAGGTTTGCCAATTTCATAAGCTCGACTTCTATAGCCACACTACGAATGCGGGGTCGTGTCATTCTATACCGGATCTTATGAACCAAGTCTAGCCGGATGCGGATCCGGGCCGCGACTCACAAATATGCCGCAGCCTTCGTTTGTTTGCGCCATATTCGGCAGTATCTGGCTTCCAAAACACACACGGCCTTTGCTCTCTACACTCCGGCAGTTCGTCGCATGTGCAGACACAGCCGTGCCGCGCCCCTGGCCCGTTTGCAGGGTCGGTGGTAGCAGAATAGTATATCATGGGAGATGACTCTGGCGCGGCAAGGAGACCTAGGGTTCGGAGTGCTCACGGTCGAGGGATGTAACCGGCCAGCCACAGGAGACACTACGTGGCGCCATCACCGAGCGACAATGGGCGTCAAAGTCGGAGCTATTCCCACCTTGGCAACGTCAGCCCTCCTCCGGCCGAGCCGGCGCAGAATCCTACAGAGAGCTAGCAGACACGGCATACGGCGCCAGTCTGCAACCAAAGCTCAATCAGCAATGAAATCCTCACGCGGAGACGGAGCATGCCGCCGGGCCAGAGGGAGAAAATGGCTCAGGGCACCACGCTGGCTTCTTTCCGAATCCACGGTTCCCTCACCTTCATCCACGCATATCCCCCTCCCCCAATTGACCTTTTCTGGGTGCCTTTGTTTATTGCAAGGAAGTAGAACCCAAAAGACATAGTTAGGCCTCTTGAGATCTCTGCAGCTGCAGCTAACGGCTTTCTTTTTACCCTGACGCGTCTTGTTTTGCCTCTTTCGTCAACGGCTCGGTGCCACGCAAGATTGGACCGGCTCGACCCAGGTTTCTGATCCAGATCACCCTCTCTGGCATTACGTGCTTTATGAGTTTTAATGTTCCAACGGAAATTTGTTGCGTACTCAAAAGTGTGCCTCCCCTCCCTCCCGGCCCTCTTTGCATCCTTGCCTACTCTGACAATCTCCTTGATCGACGGAATGGGTGTCTGATGTTGGTTTTGACAAGTTACAACGCATCCGACAGCACACTGCTAAACCGGGTCACCGGCAACCTTTGCAGGGAAAGAAAAAAAGGATCGTCGGTCAAAGGGTGCTGATAACGCATCACACCACCGGACCTTGGCTCTGAATATCATTCCGCAGCCATGGTAGACACCACGGCGGAGGCGACGGCCAGTTTGCCATCACCGCCCCCGAAAGCTTCGGCCCACACCCAGCAGTCTCAGCCCGAGTCAGAACGGGAGGCCGCTCCGGCGGAAGCCCTGGAGGCGGAGAACACGGTAGAGGCCGACACGGACGACGGCGCGTCGTCGCAGGCGAGCGAGACATGGGACGAAGGGTTCGACGGACGGAGCGCCAGCAACCATTCAGCCTCGACGTCGCTGTCCAACAGCGTGCGCGACTACGTGTTCGAGAACTCGCGGCGATACCACAAGTACATGGAGGGGAGGTACCTGATGCCCAACGACGAACCGGAACAGGAGCGCGAAGACATGAAGCATGCCATGTGCGTCAACGTCATGGATGGGAAACTGCACTGCGCGCCGATAGAAAACCCGCAAAAGGTTGTCGATATCGGCACGGGGACGGGCATCTGGGCCATCGATAGTGAGTTTTGAGTCCCCGAGTTGCTCCGTATTCTCTCCCACACACATATACTCTCTCTCTCTCTCTCTCTCTCTCTCCCTCTCTCTCTCTCTCTCTCTCTCTCTCTCTCTCTCTCTCTCTCTCTTTTACTCGCCCTCTCTCGCTCTCTGGATTATCCACTAACCTGTCCCAAAGTGGGCGACGAATTCCCCGAAGCCGACGTCGTCGGCATCGACCTCAGTCCCATCCAGCCGACCTGGCTCCCCCCCAACGTCCGCTTCATCGTCGACGACGCCGAGGCTGAATGGGTCTGGCCCGCCAACTCGATCGACTTCGTCCATGCCCGGCACATGTGCATGGCCATCAAGGACTGGCCGCGCCTCCTGTCCCAGGCGCACCACGCCCTCAGGCCCGGCGGCTGGGTGGAGCTGCAGGAGCTGCGGTTCCACCTCCAGTGCGACGACGGGACGATGCCGGGACCGGCCCAGTACGGGTACGGCCGGTTCGTCGATCTGTGCATGGAGGGGTTCCGGAGCTTCGGCATCGACCCGCTGGGCATGGAGAGAAACGCGGAGCGGCTCCGTAGCAGCGGCTTCGAGAGGGTCGAGGAGAAGGTGTGGAAGGTGCCCATCGGGACGTGGCCGCGGGACCAGAACCTCAAGACGATAGGGCTGTACAACCGGAGCATGCTCACCGACGCGTTGCAGGCTGTGAGCATGGCGCCGCTGACGAGAGGGCTGAAGTGGAGCGCTACCGAGGTGGAAATCTTCCTCATCGATGTCCGGAAGAGCCTGATGAACTCTTCGATACACTCGTATCTGACGTTCCATGTCGTTTACGGGCAAAAGCCTGGCGGCGTCTAACCCGGCGCTGTCTGTAGTAACATTGTTCAGAGATATCCCATTAATGAACGCCGCAGAATGCCTGCCTTCAACTCGGTACATGCTGTTCTCATAACCATATCATCATGTTGACGTTGCATAGTTCGCTGGCCGGGGCGGGGGTTTGACCCGTGGAACGATCGACTATCGCGGAAAGACGGGGCATGTCTCGCCTATGAGAGCCACACATGAGAACGGATACGCGTGTATGAACTCAACAGCCTTTTTCTAAACGGCAATGTGAATCCCGGAACATGTTCCGATCTACAAGCGAACGGAACGTAAAGTGCATTAGGGCCAACTCAAACCAGCATCATCCAAGACGGCATCGATGACGGGCAGTTTTGCGAAAGCCAAGACGGCAGTGTTTTTCTAGGGAAGTGAGCGCACAACCTCCGCAAAGCCATCTGTCCAGTTCTCTTCTCGCATTGCTTTCTTCAAAGACGAGCCACTTTCGCCGAGAGCTGGGAATATACAACACTCTCTCCACGAAGACCGATATAAACCACAACCTACGCCATCCCCAGGTCAAACTCGGTTTCTTTATATCAGCCTTTCTGGGCACATTACCCGGTTCGGACACTTGTGATGCGCGTGTACTCCAGCAGAAACAAGGATCAAATCCGTCGACCTACGGCGCTGCTTCGATGCTGACTTGGGCGTCGAGAACTACAGGCCGGTGATCCGAGATGAAAAGCCGGTCGTCAAACCGATTCGGCAGCACCGCGTGGCTCAGGAACTTGATGCCGCGAGCAGCCGGGTCCCGCACGAAGAGGTGGTCGATGAGCATGTCGTCCCAGTCGACGTCCGTGAAGGCGGTATACGTCTTGGAGTGGCCCGTCCTGTGGGCTTCTGGGACGACGTCGCTCGCGTCGCGCAAGTTCCCCTCCGCGACCAGCGTCTTGTAGGCGGCGTTGTCCGGCTCGACGTTCAGGTCGCCGCCCAGAAACACGGGCACGGCCGTGTCCTCCGGACCCGACCCCGACTCCCATCCCTTGGCGAGACGCACCAGGAGCTCCGCACTGCGCTCCCGCGCCGTCTGCCCCTCGTGGTCGAAGTGCGTGCACATGTAGACCAGCGGCAAGCCGGTCGCGGCGTGCCTGAAGGACGCGACGGTGGCGATGCGCGGGAGCGCGGCGTCCCAGCCCCTGGACCCGGGGACATCCGGGGTCTCGCTCAGCCAGTAGGTCCGGTTCTCGACGAGGTCCCACGTGTCCGGCCTGTAGAAGATCGGGGAGAACTCGCCCGCGGCGGCGCCGTCGTCGCGGCCGACGCCGACGTGGGCCCAGGCGGGGCCGAGGTCTTGGGCGATGTCCAGGAGCTGCTGCTCGACGACTTCCTGCATGCACAGCAGGGATTCGGGCCGGCCCGCCGTCTCGTAGTTGAGCTGGGCGGTGAGGCGGGGCCGGCGCGTGGACCAGTATGCTTCGTTCGGGCCGGCGACGGGCGTGGCCCAGCGGATGTTGTATGTCATGAGCCGCAGGGTGAGGCTCGTCGTCTGGCAGGCAACGCCGGCGGCTCCGAGGAGCATGGCCGCTGTCATACTAGCTTTCATGTTGGCTGCGTGATGATCCCGTGAGGTCGGGTAGAATCCACATGTCCCGTGGAAAGAGAATTTCATTGCCATACTTGACGTTGCAGACCATTTATATGTCCTTCTCCGCACAGCTCCCACGCCATGTCTACAAAATAGAGGAAGAGGGGGGGGGATATGAGCTTGAATTATGACGATACGGGCTCAACTGCATGCTGTTGTCACATCGTTCATGCACGCGACGCAACTCAGTGATACCTCATTGTGTCTGCAGCCCCAGCACTCGCCATTAAGGAGAGCCGTTACAGCACGTTCCATACATCACCGCCATGATCGGGCTTCATGTGGGAAGCAAGTTGCCGTTCATTCGCCGGCGAAGCGAGCTTGCTAGGCCCAGAAGAGGCAACGACTGGAGACGAAACCGCTTGGCAGACGGGTCGAGTCTGCCTCTTGGTCGGGGAATACGATCCAGGCATGTAGTCGTAGCAAGCGGAAGAACAGCGGCGATGACGAATGGAGTCGTGGCGGAGCGGGCCGCCCTATACAATAGACTCGGCCGATTGCGCTTGATGATGAAGCTTCCTGCGCCGTTGTATTACATGTTCTTGTTTGCTTGTCAAGGCTCGCTGACCGTTGATCACAAAGCCTCCCCTCATATTAGGCCAGGAAGACGCAGCATTAATTCCAGGGGTTCTGAGGCAAATTGCAGAATTTCTTGGATTCCGCACTAAAGTAAAGGGGCAGGGAATCTTTGATGATCCCTAGTCGTGTCACTTCACAAACAACCAAGGCCTTGGCTGATGGCTGGAAAAAGCGATTGTGGCCGAAGTGCCTCAGCCTCCGGCCCCCCTTCAAACCCGAGATTTCTCCTTCTCTTCTCTCTCTCTCTCTCTCTCTCTCTTCGAGATTGTTCTCCGAGACTGCATGTGCAAAGGACATCCTCCACTGCAAAGTCACTGACGCGCACAACTTCCTTGGTGGGCTCGGCTATCGGATCTACATCATCTCGCACTGACATGAGAGGACCATGATTCCACTTTGTGCGCAATTCCCTTTCACATTATGGGTACATTATGGGTACGAGTCACGAAGGTTCCGATCCGCCCACGTTCCCGAATCATACCTGGGGGCCGGGTGAACGCCACATCCGGATACCTGACTTGTCGGGGACCCGGTGTACACTGTTGGAAGACAAGGACAGGGTGGTATTCCCATCCGTTGCGTGTCGTCAGCAACTTGTCGAGGGAAAACTCTGCTCTTTGCCTCTTTTTCCCATCGAATAGGAGTCGGAAATCCCATGACCGCGGGTCAGTCTTCCGCCAGGCCAGGCGAGAGTAATAACGTAACGATCCTGGCCCCTGGGGGGCGGCCCTGTTGCGGCCTTTTGCGTCGTTGGCCAACTCCCCCTTGTCTTTTGGATTGATCCCTGTCCAAGAACAGGGACGAGCAACCTGGTGTGGAGACGATGATGTGCCAGTGATGGATTACTATGCAAGATTTTCTACAATTGCCTTATGTCTATGCATGTGTCTATGTGCGAGAACCCGCTGAATATTCATCTGCTTGCCATGTATGCCCTAGGGCGTCTCATCGAGCCGAGCCACTCGTCCCCAGTCGACGCTCCGAGCTCCTGGAGTTTGGCGTCATCTCGATCTCGACCTGGTACGAGTACTGGGCGTGGATGCCGCCCTTCTGTTCGACCGGAAGCAGGTCCCCCTTGTCCGAGTCGCCATCCTGGAGACGCTCCCACGACTCGTCGCCCCTGCCGTGAACAGTCGACAGGCTGAAGCCCGCGTCGGTCGGGTTGCGGAAGCGGTCGCGGCTCCGCTGGTCGAGGGGCTTGCTGCCGATCGTGAAGAGCGCCGACTTGCCTCCGCTTCCGCTTCCGCTCGCCTTTGAGATTTCTGTCGTGCCGCGAGTGCGCGCGATGAAACGCCGCAGCGAGGGTATGGATGAGGCAATGCAGCCGATGCCCGTCTCGATGTTGGAGCAGAGTACCGTGTGTGCCACCCAGACTAGTTTGGCTGTGAGTCTCGTGACGAAGAGGCAGACCTGAGGGAAGGGGCCAAGCTTACATTGGAGGTCCTGCTGGGCCTTGAACTTGTTGACGTAGGGGATGCGGATCATGGTGATGATGGATGCCCTTGGAGATGATTAGCTGTCTTGTCACGCACCTTCTCCGGGCCGGAGCGTAGCAAGAAACTCACACCGATGCAAAGGAAAGCAGACCAAACACTTGGAACTTGGTCTGCCTCTTCATCTGCGTTCCCCAGAGGATGATGGCAGGCACCACAACCAGGGCCAGATCGGTCACGATGGTCGAGCTCGTCGCGACGTGCCCGATGGCGACGAAGACGTCGACGGACCCGCACGTGCCTTCGCCGCTGATCAACATCGAGGGCGTCCACAAGGCGTAGGTGGGCGAGCAGTAGAGCAGCGTCCCGATGAAGGTGATGAAGAAGGATGCCCACGTGACGCCGAGCAACACCCAGACCGTGATGCGGAGGCCCTTGTCGTTGGTGATGATGCGTTGGATGGTGAAGCAGACGGAAGATTTGACGAGGGCGAGGGCGACGACGTAGATCAGAATCCAGATAACATAGGTCTTGAGGGCTTCGGAGAACATCCACATGTTGAGCTGGGCTTGGAGTGTTCCCAGGCCAACAAGGCACCCGTAGATGGCGAGTCCTACACATGGCACGTACGCCATCTGATTAGGGGGGAGAAGATGCCTAGGTTAGTCTCATTGATGCTTCGCCCGAAAAGGGGTCTGGGAAATCTGCCGTACAGTTCCTGCCAACATGAGGCCATCGTCAACGCCGAACGTGCCCTCGATAAGGCGTACGCAGGTGCGTACGCCGACGCATAGTACCGATATGACGAGGAAGACGGACGATACGATGATGATGGCGAGCGGCAGTCCGTGAGGCTCGAGCATTCGCAAGTTGGGGTCGACTGTCGCTGACATCTTAGCGGCACGTGTTGATCGGTACTATAACAAGCAAAGTTCGACGCCACGCTCACAAAAGTGGCCAGGCAGGCGGCGGACCCTCGAGATATAGGTAAATAAGCAACGGTATCTTGGTCTGGGGCGAGTGTATCCCTTCCGCGAATCCAGCCATGCAGGGGGGGGGGGCGGGAGGCCGTGGTAGACTAGTAACACAATCCGACTCGGGAAGTTCGATGAGAGAGACGTAAGCCTGGGAGGGCTTCCAAGAATGTAACCCCCCAATACTAAGCTATGTATCATCGCTTATTGAGAGGTCGATCCTTCAAAAGTTGTGTTGGACTTGCCACTGTTGGCATAACAGGGTCTGTATTAGTTTACTCCGTACACTGCCCGGCGGATCCCCCCCCCCCCTGCCCCCTTCCCGCCCGTCTCATGGTCCTGAGCCCGAGGCAGTTGAAAAGAGCCTCCTCAGACAGGCAAGAATATGTGGATTTGGACCAGACTGGATGATGGCGGATCCCGCCGTGTCCACTTCCACTTCGCCAATCAGAAACTCAGCCAAGGCCGAGCACACCTCGAGTTGGCGGCGCTTGACCCGCGCGGGTCCAGCCCAGGGGGGCCGTTGCAGATGAATCCACCACGCTAGGCAGAAGACATCTCGAAGGCCCGAAGGACAGTCGAATCAGACGCGGAAGATGGGTTGACAGCCGGTCTAGCGTGGAATCTGACCAGTCGTATACGATCACCCGCTAGTAGAATTGGGGGGAGATCCTCTACCGGTAGTGACAGTCACATTGGGGATTGAAACGCGCAGATCGCAGTAACGGTGAGGGATGCCGCCATTGGGATCGACCGCGTACCATTCTTCGAGACGAATAGTCGGCGGCCGAGTCTCCGCCTGCGGGATGAACCCGGACAACGGCAAGACGAGCGGCTTCTGGACGACCAAAGAAGCTGCCGTGCCCGAGCTAGACCATGTTAGACCAAGGCACACTAATCCTAGGCTGATCCGAATAGGCCATCATGAACGTTGGATCACACTTTTCCAGGTTTAGCGAAGGCAGGGTTATCTGTTTTGCACGCCTTCCCAAATATGGATGTTTGTATGTAATTAGAGGGCCAATGTACGAAGACTGAAACCTCGGCAGTTCTTGTATCAGGAAAGCCCAAGCATAGCACCGCTGCAAGGCCGTCAGACCATCTTCACACGCACGCCATTGGTCCCCGACTTGGGCACAGGGATGAACATGTCATGGTCGTACGCAACATCCTCATCCGTGGTCTCGTACAGACGCATGCTGGGCAGAACGCGCAGAGCCAGGGCCGCAAGGCACAAGTTGAGCTCACACAGAGCCAAGCTGGAACAACAACGTTAGAAAATGGCCTTCTCGCCGGGCGGCTCGTGATGCAGGAGGTGGAGAAACTTACTTCATGCCGAGGCAGGATCTGCTGCCCTTGGAGAAGGCGAGCATGCCCTTCTCGACGTCCTTGCGCCGCTGGTTGTTCTCGTCCAGCCAGCGCTCGGGGATGAACTGGTATGAGTCGGGGAAGACGCTCTCGTCGTGGTGGGTGATGACGGAGGACATGCCGACGGCGTAGCCGCGGGGAATCACGTACTCGACGGGCTTCTTGTTGAACTCGCCGCGGTACACCAGGTTCTCCTCGGTCGGGACGCGGGCCGTCCGCGCGGACACGCCGTAGGACAGGCGCAGGCCCTCCTGGAGAACGGCGCCGAGGTAGGGCAGGCTCTCGAGGGAGGTCCAGCTGGGGAGGTGCTTTGGGTCGTCGACGACGGTCTCGAGTTCGTCCTGCAGCTTCGCGAGCAGCTCGGGCTTGGTGAGGAGGTGGTAGGTGATGACGCCCAGCGCCCAGCTGGTGGTCTCGGTCCCGGCACCGACGACGGCGGCGGCCTCGTCGGCCAGTCGAAGGGAGCTCTTTTCGTTTGACTCAAGTTCGGATTCGAGGAGGGAGCCGAAGACGGTGGGGCGCTCGCGGCGGATGCCGGCGTCGAGGTCGGCTTTGGTGTTTTTGACCTTGTTCGGCAGGTCGAACTTCAGCGTTCGGATGAGCAGAGCCATGTCGGCGGGCAGGTAGTCCACGAGCCTGGGTTTGAAGTTAGCTTTCGCCCTCCCTGTCTTCTTCTCTTTTTCTCCTCTACTGTCATGGAAATATTGCCCTGCTCGGACGGGTAACATACCACTCTCCAAGGACAGCAGTGTGCTTGGTCCAGTTGAAGAAACGGAAGATGAATACGGGTCGCAGGATGGCCGCAGTCGGCGCGCGGAAGTTGGGGTACCAACCCTCCTGCGTGAGGAAACCGAAGCTCTCGCCGAAGGCGTAGCCGGAGATGGCGTCCGAGGTGAAGCAGCTGTACGCCATGGCGACGTCGAACGGCATCTGGCGCTCCCTCTCGGCCAGCAGCTTGTCGCAGAGTCTCTGGACCAGGGAGTGGACGTCGCCCTCGAGGCGCGCAATCATGCTGCGGGAGAAGAATTTGGCCAGGGGGCCGCGGCGCGCACGATGAGCGTCGTGGTCTACTGTACCGAAGCCAGACTCGCCCAGACTATAGACGGAGGGGTGGATGAATCGTTAGCTACATCTGGTCTCCCAAGATTTGAGACAATTCCGCAGGCTCCCTTACGCTGAGCCGTTGATCTGGTGGACGGGCTTGTCACGCTTGCGACCGCTGACGGCGTAGATCTCGTCCGCGAAGTTGACATCGTTGCAGTGCACCTCGTGCGGGCTGATACGGACGATCGGGCCTGATGGCAAGAGTTAGATCCTGTCGAGCCCGTCTTCTACAATGCGCTGCTCCACATACCGTACTGCTCGTGCATGCGACGGATTTCGCTCGTGTAGCGTCCGAACAGGATAACGTCGTAGTAGAACTCCGGGATGTACGTGGCCGCGGACAGCTTGGGCCCGGGGATATGGCTCAGCGGGTGCAGCGGCGAGATGTTGTAGAGGGCCTTGAGGACATGATAGACCAGCCAGATGGCGATGAGGCCAAGCACGTTACGGGCTGACAGATACGGCGTCACGCCGCCGGTGGGCAATGTCGCAGTATCAACGGTCGACATTGTGTTGATGATTGCTAGAAGAAAGAAAAGAGAAAAGAATGTAAGGAAGTTGGGTCGCAAGCCATGAGAGAAGAGGGGGGGAAATACGTTATTGCATCTCGGACTTTCAAGTCTATACTACCAGCATGCTCTCTGTGGAGGTTCTGGGGTCGCTCACAGCCATTGGCCGATCCACACATACTGCGTCCGGCCTTCGCCCGATAGAGCTACAAGGCCGAGATCTGATTCCTGATTCCTTGCATGGATGGGGTTAGAGTATGAGAGGAGGCCAAGAAAGGAGGCCTGCAGAGGGTTCGGATGGTCCGAGGTTGGCCATTGCCCAAGGGACCACGGTTCGCTGAACGAACGATGGGTTCATCCTATGGCTGACCCCATAGGCTACTTGCACTTGCAACGAAATCTCCTGGTAGCAAGATCCACGGGAATTTCTTCCTCGCGTGGCCTCCAGCCTAGTATGTGTGGGTGGCTGAAATGTCACAAACGGCCCGCGGGGTGCGTGGAGACTTGCTTTTTCGGACCCGTAGAGCTGGTTGGTTAGCAAAAAAAGCAAGCCCTTGACGATAACCATCACCAGAGTCTCGTTATATATCTCACCTGACGTACCCCCCCCCTGGCTGACCTGACCTAGGCCCACTCCAGAAACTTATCCGAAGTTTCGCCATTGATGGAGGGTAGGTCAGGTCAGCTCGTAAGTGTAGGTCTAGGCCCACATAGCGACTCAGGCCAGGTATAGAGATTAATCCTAGACTATTCCTATCTACCTTAAGTCTACCTTAGGCTATAGTTTTATTAATACAGACGTTAAGATAATTTTAGTTTAGACGCACTAGATAAAGGATATATCTCTTAGCTGCCTTTTATTTCCCTAGCCTCTACCCTTTGTTACGCTATTAATTAGGCGCGCTGCTGCCCTTTATTACACTATTAATTAGGCGTAATACTGCCCTCTGTTACTTTATTAACTAGGTGTATATAGTCTAGCCTAAAGATATTATACCCTACTTATAAATTAATCTAAAATACTTCTAGCTTATTCCTAAACTTTTTTACTTTATATCTTTTTTTACTTTAATCTAAGTTTAATCTTAAATAGCTTTATTTTTATATAACACTACTATTAATTTAAGTTTAATCTTAAATTACTTTTTATATTAAGATTCTTATTACCTACTTACTTTATTAGGGATTATCCTTAGATTAATTATAGCTTAACTATTATACTTTACCCCTAAGGCCTTATAGCCTTTACTAATTCTATAGTGTATATACGTTATACCTTATATTAATTATACTTAAAGGGCTATCCTGTTTAGGATAAAAAGGTTTATTAATTATTTCTAGAAAAAATATTATTTAATTACTAATATTTATTTAAGGATAAAGAGTTTATTATCCCCTCTAGAGAGGTATTTTACTATAGCTATAATATATTAAAGAAGGGTTAGATTATATATTACTAAGATAGTATAAGTCTACTTTTAGATTTATTTAGGATTAATCTAAGCTTATAATATAATAGTATAAATAGGCCTTAAATAACTTTAACCTATATTAGTATATAGCTACTTATAGTAACGTCTACTAGGCCTATAGTAATCTAAACGCTATATACTACTAGGATCTTACTAGTAAGTTAAACCCTAGATTAAGGGTTAATTAATCTCTACTTACTCTCTAAAGATTACTATAAGGAAGTTAATACTTATTACCTTAAGGGTATATAGTAAGTAGATAAAGATAATAATTAGACTACTAATACTATCCCTTACCCTCTAAAAGAGGCCTAATTAAAGAAGAGTATAAAGTAATCCTAGCGTAATACTAGCTTAAGTAAAAATAAATCTAAGAATAAGCTTCCTCTTAAGAAGTAGTAGAAGAAGTCTAGCTATAAGAAGAATTAAGGCTTATAAAACAAGAGAAATAGAAAAAAAGTAACTACTCTAATTAATCCTAGCCTTAATAAAAATTAATTTATAACTAAATTTATAGTTAATCTTAGCTTTAAGGTTAATTAGTTATTTATACTAAATTAACCTAAGGATAATCTCTAATAGGAGATTAAATTTAAGTAGCTATAGTAGCCTAAGTAGTATGTTATATAGTTTAATAAGGATAAAGTCTAGTATAGCCTTACTAAGTACTCCTTAGCTATTATTCTTATAAAGCTAAAAAAAGAAGTAGCCTAGTATATAAGTAAACTATGCTTTTTCTAAGATTAATCCTAGATTATTACTAACGCCTTATAGCCTAATCTTAGGGCTATAAAGAGGTAGCTTAGCCTTACTAAGTGTAGTAACTATAATAGTAAATACAGTAAGATTTTACTATAAATAATTAAGGATTAATTACTAATTATTTATAAAGTGCCTAGCTAAGAAGCGCCCTAAGCCTAATAGTAAGGGACGCTACCTTATCTAGGACTATTATAGTCCTAGCCCTAAGCTAGCTAGTAAGCCTAATAGTAAGGTCCTAGAGGCTAACCTAGAGAATAAGGCAGGGGAGATCTAGAAGTAAGCTAGGATTAATCTCCTAGGGTAAAGTAATATTTATTAGACGTAGTAAAGTAGTAAGTTAAGACTAATTAGAGTTTAATTATAGATCTTATATAGCTATTAAGGGTAAAGGAGGATTAAGGACTAATTATAGATTAATTATAAATTTAACCTAGCTAGTAATAATTTATTTTTACTTTAAAAAGATAATTAGTAATATATTATAAAAACACTTTAAAATAAAAGTAAAACACTAAATAAGGATATTTATTTTAGGCTCTAACCTAGCCTTATCTATCTTACTTAGTAAAGCTATAGCAGGCTCCTAATAAAAAAGTAATATATCTATAATATACTTAAGGTTAAGTATGCTATTTACTTAGCTAAGAATATCTAGCTTCTTATAGATAGATACCTATTAGGTAATATTATAACTAGGTATACTAAACCACTTTTAGTACATACTAAGTTAGAATAAAACGTCTTTAATCCTCCTAACACTAATTAATTCTTAATATAAGATATATTAGCTAAGAGCCTAGATTAGGGAAGAGGATAGAGGTTAAATTAATAGATTAATTAATTAATTAATAGGTAGGGGTATCTATAGATGTAGAATTTAACTTGGCTACTTTAGCTGGCTGGCCAGGCTAAAGGGTAATATGTGTGTGTGTTGCCGGCCGGGCTAACGATTTGCCAATCGGCCGGCAATTAACCGATCTATGGGCATCCCGCCCCTTAGCCTAGGGATATCGTTACAATTGCCCCCCTTCCTAAAAGGTCTGGTCCCCAGGCCGTACGCCTAGATAGATAGGATTTAAACCCAAAGGTGGGATTTAAACCTAATAGTTAGGTGTTAATAACCCTTATCTGCTCTTTAGCAGGATTCAATTTCAGGTGTTAATAACCCTTATCGCTATGTAATTAGCAGCCTGTTAGCAAGCTTACAAGGCTCTTATCTGCTCTTTAGCAGGATTTAATTAGATAGGATTTAAACCTAATAGGCAGGTATTAATAACCCTTATTACTAGTTAATTAGTAGCTATTTAGTAAGCTTATAAGGCTCTTATCTACTTATTAGTAGGATTTAGTAATATTTTTTATTAGACGTATTTACGTTATAATAACTAGCTCTTATTTAGGCCCTTACTTAGGCTACTGTTACTAACTATTCCTTACTTTAGCAGACAGTCTTAGTATGCCCCTTCTTATAGTAATACGTACATATAGCCTTACTATAGCACTTCTTAGCACTATAGCCTACTTTACTACACTTAGCATAATTAGTAGAGGCTCTTAGCCTTACCTGCTTAGTATCTACTGGCCTTGCCTGTTCTTTAGGTCAGGGTCTTTTTGCTAACGGCTTGCTGAGCGGTAATTAGACAGAGCTCTCTACAGAGGTCCGCACAGGGGTCCAGCTAGAAGCCTGATTGGATACCCGGTCGGCCTGGAGCTCCTATAGTCTTTTAGTAGTAAGGGTAACGTCCCTTAGCCTCTAGGCAGAGTGCTTCTGCTAGATTAGTGCCTGTTATAACCCTAGTTATAGGCAGTAGAAAAACGAGAAGGCTAGAGGCTAATTCTCCTCCTAGTTAGAGCCTAAGGCCTAATAGATTACTAACTATTTAGTAAAAAATTGTAGTAGTAATTAATCTGCCTGTTAGGCTTTATGTAGCTGGCTATAGAGATAACGCTCTTAAAGCTTTAGATTAACGTGCGATTAGTAAATAAACGCTTTAAAAGCAGCCTAGAGGCGCTTGCTACTTATAGCAGCTTAATAATTTCTCTATTACGTCTAGAGCGTTAGGGTTACCTTTATAAGAGCCTATTTAATATAGTGGCCTTTAGATGCTATTAGCTAAAGCTAATTACCTGCCTTAATAGCTGCTAGCTAATCTGCTACTTACTTAGGCGTGCTGTTTTCTTATAAGGTGCTATAAGTGTACGCTAGAGGGCGCTTATATTACTTCTTAGCTATTACTAGGCAATTAGTAAGCAGTTATAAAAGGGCTATATTCTAATCCTAGATAGTCTGTATTAGCTCTATAATAGATAGAGTAGATAGGGGTAGCTCTAGTTTAATTTAGTAAGTAGTTACTAAAGAGCGCGTTAATTGTAATAGTTAAGATTGTAATAATTTATTATCTATTTCCAGCCTAATCCCTCTTAGAGGTAGAAGTTAAATAATTATAAGATATATTAGCTAAGAGCCTAGATTAGGGAAGAGGATAGAGGTTAAATTAATAGATTAATTGATTAATTAATAGGTAGGGGTATCTGTAGATATAGAATTTAACTTAGCTACTTTAGCTAGCTAGCTAGGCTGAAGGGTAATATGTGTGTGTGTTGCCGGCCGGGCCGACGATTCGCCGATCGGCTGGCGATTAACCGATCTATAGGCATCCCGCCCCTTGGCCCAGGGATATCGTTACACTTAATTAGTATCTAATCTATCTATAGGCAGGAGATAATAATCCTCTTTTATAATTCTAAAAGTATTACTAAGAGATA